TTTTCAGTGATTCCTCATCAGGCTAATACGCCACAAATGAATGACATGAACGCAAACATCAGCTAAGGGTACAGGTTCAAAACCCAGATGGTCTGAGTGACCAAGCTAGACGATTGGCCCCACGGCGATCAACAGTTTGTTTGTGTGCGTGTGTGTGGCGTTATCCACACTGTGTCCGTGTTACAGGGGACCAGGTTAGAGTTAGTGCCTGGACAAATTTCTTGTGTGTACATAGGTCAGGGTCATGAAGTCTGATGGCTATCGCCTCGGCCGCTGCCAGTAGACGATATCTAACCGCTCTTGTGTGGCATCTGGGTACGCGGTAGATGGGTTGGACCGCCTCATGCGCTCTGACTTGATAACTCGAGTCGATCGTACTTAGATGCCCTCAAAGCGCTTAAACGGAACGAAAATGTGCTGCTCTCTAAGCCGGATAAAGGAGCAGGAATTGTCCTTATGGATAAATCTGAGTATATCACTAAGATGAATGCCATCCTCAGTGATCATTGAAAATTCCGGATGATGAAGAAAGAGAAAGACAAAACGGCCTCGATAGAAAAGACAGTCACAAGCTACTACCCTGTCTGAAGCAAGAGAATACGATTGACTCAGTGGTTTTCGAGTACACGCGTCCCTCCGGGACAGTGATTCCACGTCTTTATGGCTTACCGAAAGTGCATAAAGAAGGACTTCCATTGAGGCCAATATTAGACATGTGTGATTCTACATATCACTCAACAGCGAAATGGTTCGCTAAGCTTCTAGAGCCGATCAGAAAAGTCCTAGCCAAACAGCCTCAGAGATACATTCAGCTTCGTAGACTCGATATGCCATATGCAGTTAACCGGAAGGAAAATGTTTTCTCTAGGTGCAGTGTCGCACTTCACTAATGTTCCTCTGGCGGAGACGATAGACTACCTATGCGACGCTGTTCGATTGCACCATGTGGACGTCGGCCTCTCGAACGAGCGACTTAAACAGTTGCTTCTGATGTGTACCAGGAACGTACAATTCCTTTTCAACGGGAAGATCTACAGACAGAAGGACGGAGTCGCAATGGGCTCTCCGTTAGGACCATTGTTAGCAGAAGTATTTATGAGTAAATTAGAGAACAACTATCTAAACGGAGTTATCGACAAATTAGTCTACTACGGACGGTATGTGGACGATATATTCTGCATCTCAGATAGTCATTTATGCACGGATGAATTAGTGAGGCAATTTAACACAGTCCACGCAAACATAAAATTCACCCTTGAATCTGAGTGAACAACTGAATATCGTACTTAGACGTTCAGATTAGCTGAAGATCTGACGGGTCGGTCCAGCGCAGTGTCCATAGAAAGACAACCTGGAATGGACAATATACTCACTTTGCCAGCTTCATCCCGCTCAGCCAGAAACGGAAACTTGTTCGGTGCCTAACCGATCGAGCAAGAAGGATATGTAGCGAGGACATGCTTTCGGACGAGCTAAACTTTGTACGAAGCCTATTCGATAGAAATGGCTATCCTGAGATATTCGTTCGGAGAAACATGGAGGTACGAGCAGCGAAGGCAAAATTGGATTCAGTAGGAAGGAAACCGCTCTACTTATCGTTACCGTTCAAGGGGGACGGGATAGCTGAATCAACGTCTAGAAAGCTTTCTGCCGCAATCGCCCAAACATACTATACAGCAAGCCTACGGCTAAGCTTCTACTCAGTGCTGACCCTGAATCAACAACTTAAGGACAGAATTCCAAGGTCAAGTACTTCATTCTGTGTATACGCTTTCTCTTCCTCGTGTCCATCAAGATATATCGGAAGAACTACCAGGAAACTGTGCGAGAGAGCCAGGAAATACCGTTAGGTTGGCCGTATAGCGGCGTGACTAGATCAGTGGCAAGCGCAGTACCTACACACCTGATCGACTCGAGTCATCAAGTCAGAGCGCATGGGGCGTTCTAGCCCATCTACCGCGTACCCAGATGCCACACAAGAGCGGTTAGATATCGTCTACTGGCAGCGGCCGAGGCGATAGCCATCAGACTTCATGACCCTGACCTATGTACACACAAGAAATTTGTCCAGGCACTAACTCTAACCTGGTCCCCTGTAACACGGACACAGTGTGGATAACGCCACACACACGCACACAAACAAACTGTTGATCGCCGTGGGGCCAATCGCCTAGCTTGGTCACTCAGACCATCTGGGTTTTGAACCTGTACCTTTAGCTGATATTTACGTTCATGTCATTCATTTGTGGTGTATTAGCCTGATGAGGAATCACTGAAAACGAGCTTGTTCACTAACATTTGTTCTGATGTCTACTCCCGGGATATTTTATCAGTTGAAATATGCTATTATATGAACATTAGGAACTTCTCTCCCGGCATTTCTCCCAAATATATTCATCTACTCCAATCAGTCAACACAGCGAATTGGTGATATTGACATATAGTCTAACAGTGATATAACCTGCATGTATGCAAACTCCCCATGCTGGAGTGAATTCTTTCCACTCCTATGTTGGATGACATCACTTGTGAAACACAACTATGTACCTAATGAGCTGCCCAAATGCGTGAAGTCTCTCCCACTGTCGAGAAATAAAACATTTATTTACTTACCATATTCAAATTGTTCAAAAATGAGTGTCCAAGCCTGTGCCCGCTTACAATAGGTATCTTTCCAGTTTTGTTTGTACAGTCATGCGGTGAAATTTGAACAGATCTTGGTTTGCTTCAGGATATAGGAAACCAGCTCTGACATTAATGCGCTCAGACAGTCTGTGGTTGGACAAACTGATACCAAATTAACATTGCTGCCCTAACCTCACTGCATTAACCGGGTGTGGACAAGGATCTTTAGTTGGCGGTACAATGACGAATGTTACAATCTCACTGCCCGACTAACACAGGGTTTCCTCACTCTCCGGGCTCTACTTTGCTACACACTTTGAATGAAAACGAACAGTGTAATCTCCGATGTTGAACGAGTTTTTGCAGAGCATTACACGTACGGTACGGTTTTGTTAGCTGAAAAAGAAAGTCATGTACGCAATGGCGAAGATACCATACAATGTATGTGCTTAGAATGGTCTAGTGAGCAGCGTTTTCCTTTGTCCTCCTACGCGTAATCAGAGTGTCTTCATATTCATCATTAAAGTAAGAAACGCTTTTGAATGAATTTGCAAGTAATGTTCGGAATGATTCACTCGTTACTCAGTAAAATTGCTAACAGTTGCCTTATACTATTGCAACACACCCGGATAGGGTAATCCCAGCTTTCACTGCGCTTCGGCATCATAAAAGTACTCTATTAATTTATCGCTGTGTAGCGAACGCCGTTCGTTGCTGTCGTTTATTTCTCGCATATCTTGCTTTACCTCGCCTCTGTATCTTGGATCAGAAGGGACCGAATCTTCGAAGCAAGACTAATGCGTCTGAGAGGGCAGTTGTACCCTCCACTCGGTAAGAATGGTTCTACAGCTTAGACTGGATAGAGAGTTAAAGCGTTTCTAGATTCATCAGGAGATGCTGAAGATGCCGTATGGGAATAAAACGTAGAACAATGGTCCTGTTTAACAGTTTATCATGATCGCAACTCGAACGGCAATCAGAAAGCTTTTTCACTTTCCCCACAACGCAGCACTTAGGTCAAGTCGACTTGCAACTAAAACATTCGCAATGATGCTGCTTATGTCGTTGTGCGATTCCCCAATCGCTGTGTTCAGGCAATCACATGATTAATGAGATGGTCCAATTTCGCTAGTATAGCGCTGCCGTTATCGCCGCACTATGGCGTGGTGCGTAGTCAGGCGGACACACGTGGATCATCCCATCTCCCCCGAGTGCAGTCCACAACTGTGATGGCTGTATGGCTAAGTGGAGTTGCTGATGAAAGCCCAACTCATACAACTCAACCTCCCATCCCTTTGGTTTTTGCTCCTTAGCCTGGCCACACTTTACCTTGACCGATTTCAATTGATGCAGGTTATTTTTGAGCATGGTATGAGTTACTCGGTGAACCGAAGGTGACATCATGTTCCAGTACTAGTATCGCCAACTACGTTACTTCCAGATGTCTCCCTCTTGATAAGAGGGCGCGTTTACAGTCTCGCCGTTCGGGCGGTGTGCAGGCGAATCATGACCAGTTCGCATAGACAACATGCCTTCGAGAATAGCCTTCGACAATGGGTGTTTGAGGAGGATTGCTCGTGTGTGGTAGCAACAGCTTATTTGCAACAGTGAAGTCAGACATAGTGTCTTAGGAGATGCGAGTATTCCCTTCAATGAACTGCTTTTGCAACGCCAATTAAGATGGCTTGTTCACGTCCTGTGTATGTCATCTGAGCATTTGTCCCTTTACGCTCTTTTCGCTCGCGCAAGAGCTGGCTGGAATAGATTACGTGGTGGTCATTCATCCAGTTGGCGAGAACATATGAAATCGTGGACTTCACGTTTTGCCACCGTTGAATCCACTCGTCTCCATGGTTGTGGACTAAAGGATGAAGAGTACCGATGGCTGGGGACAATTCAGGGTATGGCTCGCAGTCGAAACCAGTGGAACACTGTGTATATACTTGTTTAGCTTCACATGTCTAATGTGTAACAATTGAAAGAGACAAATTACAGAACCGGTGTGTGAAAAATGGCGAAAAATAGATTCCGTTCTTCTTGCGGCGCAGTAGCTGAAATGTGTTGCCCACCTTCAGCTACTCTTCCATGTTGATGATGTGGTAATTACACCTATGATTCCTATGGCTTTTGTACAGCCTCATGCCTTTTCCTTAGACGGTTGCTACTATTAATCTACTACTAATACTATTCTCAGATAAACATCTAAACAGTATTTGTTTTGTTTTGCTGCCATACCCTCATCTATCTCATGCGAGAAGATGGTAGTAGTAGCAGTAGTCTCACTAATCCATTAAATAGATACTTGACACACCACCATATAAAGCCGGTAAGGAACAAGAATATTTAGGTGGAACTGTTTCCTTTTTTATTCCAAGTTTCGTGGAAACATGTCCTGGACTTCCGGCAAAGGATCATTCGGGACACACGACACCTGGAACAAAAGTTTTCTTGGCCTTTCCTTCACCTCGGGTTCTTTGAGCTCACTAAGCTCAGAGAAACCAAATGTGCGCACCACGCCGTCCAAAGTGCCTGAAAGATCGGAGCTCAGTTCAAAAGATGTAAATTCGATAAGAGCGTGTAGTTCTGATTCACCAAGTACCAGTACCGCTTTCCTCGAAGAATCACACACTATCATCGCCTTGAAACCCCTAATTTTATTCGCACGAGAACTACGTGATATACTACGGCAAAGCCAGGGTAAGCTCTCGTTGGCGCAACTGTGCAATGCCTACCAGAGACGTTTCGGGATTCCTTTGCGACCACAAAGGTACAACTATCCATCACTCAGTTCGTTGGTTCAAGCAGTTGATTTTGTCGCGGTGATGCGTGGACGTGGGGTCCGTTCAACGCTCGTTCTTTGTCAAGACTTTTTAGGTGAGTTCAAAAGTAAATTCTCTTCATCTTACCATTTCAATCAACTTAAAATCAACATCAGTGCTTATGATGTAAACTAGCGTTTATTCGTATCTGTGATACGCGTACTCGCTTGCTTTTTCTTCACAACAGCATCCGTTAGCTTATCAAGTAGGTTTTCCGTAGCATGAATTTTGAGTTTGAAGCGATATTTTAGTAGCATTATTTCCACACAAATTAATTATCCACTTTTTGCATTGCTTTTCACTGGTCTCATATATCAATTTCACTTTAAGTTGGACGTCTCGAAAAACATATTGGAGGCTTTATAAAACAAATTGGACACATCGCACTATAAGCAGAAAACCATCAACTTTTTGCACAAAATAAGGAGTAAGGCGACTGGACGATGTGGCTATGCCAATTCAGGCGATCGTGCAAGCCATTCTCTTGATCATGGGAGTTCTTCACTTCTATTAAAGGCGATGACACAGTTTTCCGCTCTCTCTCCCCATCGGCCTTCGCATGTTTTGCGTGAATAAATAAATAAATAAATAAATAAATAAATTGTATATGGCTCGACGATGCGAGAAGCCGTTCCCAGAAGGGACGGATCAACTAATGGTACAGCAGTTTCATATCATGGTATAATAAATTTTTTAAAAAATGTTAGCACCAAATGAAAATTTGTGTAGAGCGAAGCGGTCCAGAATATTTACATTCCTCTTGTTCTATCGTCTGACAAGTTTTTAGCAGTCACATGAGAGTTGATCGCACACGAGAAAAAAAAAGAGAATAAAGTGCTGCGGGCCAACAAAATATAACCACTTGTGCACTTGATCACATGCATTTTCAGGCACCATTAACTCCTTTCTCAAAAGCGTTATCTAAGGACTGTGCTGTTTGAAACATCGTTATCACATTTTGAACGGTTAAATAATCTTTTATCGAAAGCTTAAACAAACGCAATGTGCAACAAGTTCTGATAGCTCTTGGAAGTTTGTTCCAAAGCTTTGAGCAGTGTAGTAAGAAGAAACGCTCCCTAATTCGCGTATTGAACTTTGGAATCATGACCGTTGTCTCCTTATTTCGTAGCTCGTATCTAGTGTGGCAAACCTATGCAGTTACCCGACAATTAGAACTGTGTACGTTGTTATAACTCCTCCAAACCCAGCCTAGCTTTACTAGCCTTGTGCCGTACGAAACGACCAAAATGAGCGACGGACTACGAAAGGACGAACCTCCGAGGTAGCATCGGTACAGGCAAAGTTCATCAGCACAGAAAACGATCTTCACTAAGCTTGTGTTCGTGGATAGCAGAACCACCTACGAAACTGCTGAAGTCGCCGATGTCAACGAGAGCACGGCAAGATGCATCATCATTCCCTGTAGGCGAGATGGTACCACTACTCAGTGCAAATGTGGAGAAAACCACAGAGAGATGCTGACTCCCGATGTCCTGCAAAGATGTGATCTTGCAGGAGCTGAAGCTAACCGATTATGCACCGACAACTCTTTAATTCGCGTTTTTGGCCCTCATTTTGTCTTTTTTTCTAGCCAGGCCCACCAATTGAGGCACCTTCACATTGAATTGGACAAAGCATTGTTATTCCTTATAGAGATAGCAATAAGTACCAAAAAACGGGAACATATATGATGTCGACTCCTCTGGGAAAGGGATGGAGTTCGCCGCATCTTGTGACTTACGCTAGTGTACAAAGACAGTGAATTGAAAGCGCCACTGGTATCAATATGACAAGCTTAAATAATATTCTATTTTTCTTGCTACCAGCGTAAATGTCAGTTGGAAACATAAGAATAAATCTTACTTTCCAAAGCAGACCTTGAATGAAGAGGTTAAACGTTATTTGGTTTGATCGAGTGGGTGGGCGACAACGCGCGAGTTAATGATGTCTTCTGTGTATTACCCAGGAAGATCTTTTGACCTAAGGATGTCAGTCGTATGCCATTTAGCCTCCACAATAACGACATTTAGTCGTGAAACCCATTAGATAGACTTAGTTTCTTCTTCTGAGTGGACGGATGGCCATGATGCCAGAACTGGCCTTCTATCACTATGTGCTTTCGTTTTAGTAATTAATCAGTGTATCACATAATATTTCACAGCCACTCCGATTGCCGTAGCTTAAGTTAATGTAACGACCGACGACCATGCGATCAGTTTAGCCTTTGGTGGTCACGCTAGTGAGTTTGCTAGAAGTGTTTCTCCGTATTGTAAATAACCTCCGTATTGTAAATTTTCGAGTAGTTGCCCGGGTTCCTCCACGAATCCGGATCAACAGGTTGCTAATACTTCAGGCGCGCCCAGCGGGTCCTACCGCGGTCTGCGCGTAGCCTTTACTAATGTATGCAGTTTGATGAACAAACGCGATGTGCTGTACGACTTCGTAAGCTCTCAGCGACCGGACGTATTAGGCCTTGCTGAGACATGGTTAAACTCCGACGTAACCGTCCAAGAAGTGGAAATCACCGGCTACTCATGCTTCCGCTACGATAGACCATCAAATGATCGCGGTGGCGCTCTACTTTACATAAAGTCTTCCTTGTGTGGGAGACTAGTGAGCGCCTATCAAAGCGCTGATGGCCTATGTGAGCAGTTATGGTGTTCGATACACCTCAGACGCTGCGAGTTGCTCGTGGGCGTGGTATATCGCAGCCCACTGAGCCGCAGTTTGGACTGGTTGCCGCATGTCCGCAACCACATGAGTCGTCCGATGTTCCTACTCATGGGCGATTTCAACTTGCCCCGAATACAGTGGCCTGAAGCTGAACTTCTCCCCAGCCACTGTGAAGTCGAGAGGAAGTTTACGGAGTTGCTATTTGAAACCGCGGCCACACAGCACATCAACCAACCGACACGCATTACAGCGCGCGCAACTCCATCATGCTTAGACCTGCTGTTGACTAGCTGTGAGCAGCGTGTACATAACATTAAAGTCTTAGAGCCTCTGGGAGCGAGTGACCACTCAGTGATCATAGGCAGTTTAGAACTACCGCTACCGTATCCTCTCCCACTAGAGCCAACCTTCAAATATTGGAAGGCGGACTTTAATGGCCTCATTCGAGCAGCGAGCCAGATAGACTGGTCTTTACCACAAGATTCATCTATTGAAACCTGTTGGGCTATCATTAAAGAGGGAGTGAAATCGTTGTGCGCCCGATTTGTGCCCCTCAAATTTCGGAAAGTTGGGCCAGTCAAACCACATTGGTTTGACAAAGAGTACAACAAAATGGCCCGACGGCGACGCAGACTATGGAACAAATTCGTGTTATCTGGCTCTGATGAGGACTACAATGCCTACAAGGTACAACGAAATCGCTGCAACAACGCGAAAACAAGAAAACGCAGAAGCTTCGAAGAGAAGCTTGCAACTGCCGCAAAAACTGCTCCCAAGAGGATCTTCGCACATGTGAAGCGGCGCCTAAGGCCTATAGCTAGTATCCCAGTGTTAGAAGGCTCAGAAGGACAGCCTCTAACCCGGAGTACAGATCGTGCGTCAGCATTGGCAACGCACTTTGCCTCTGTATTCGCAAGTGACCAGGTGTCTGTAATGAGTTCGACGAGCACCGCTCCAGCCGAACTTAACAGCCTGGACTGCAATATTGAGGATGTACGCAAGCTTCTAGCAAATCTTGACGGGACAAAACCTGCTGGGCCAGATGGTATACACCCACTAATCCTCAAGTCATTATCGACCATAATTGCACCTTCTGTAACTGAACTGTTTAACAGGTCACTATCCACTGGTCTACTACCGGACGACTGGAAATGCTCAGTCGTAAAGCCTATCCCGAAAGGTGGTAACCCAAGCAAAGTGGATAACTACCGGCCGATCTGCCTGACGGCAGTTTTGGCAAAGACGCTCGAGAAGATCGTGAAGAAGAACCTTCTGCAACTTCTAGAGTCGAAAAACCTGTTAACCTCCGCACAGCATGGTTTCCTGAAAGGTCGTTCGTGCATCACCAACCTACTGTTGACGAGGCACGAATGGTTACAAGCGCTGAACAAAGGCCAATCGGTTGACGTCATTTACATTGACTTCAGTAAGGCTTTTGACAAGGTTAACCATGCAGTGCTCCTTGACAGACTGAGGATGTGCGGTGTTGGTGGTTCGCTGCACAAATGGATCAGCAATTTCCTTATTGATCGAAAGTGGAGAGTCCAGGTGGACAACCATCTAACTGAGTGGTATCCATCGAGCAGCGGCGTGCCCCAAGGCACTGTACTGGGACCGATATTGTTTCTAATCCATATAACGATGTGCCTCAGCTACTACAATCACATTGTGCTTTGTTCGCAGATGACTTGAAAGTGTGGAGAGTAATCCGCACACTCAATGATTGTGATTTGCTTCAGCAGGATCTCGACCGCCTCTCGACTTGGTCTGCAGAGGTTAACCTTCCGATCAACCCTGCCAAGTCGCAATTCATGAGGTTGGGTAAGTATGATCACGGCCGAACGTATACAGTGGCTGGACAACCGTTGCATCCCGCTCCTTTCGTGCGCGACCTCGGTGTACTCTCACGCTGCGACCTAAAGTCCATTGACAACACGAATAGGCTGTACCAAAACAGCCTTCGGATGCTTTGGGCTTTCAGGCGCAGCTTTAGCACTTGGTCCGAAGAGATTGCCACTCGCCTCTTCGTCTCGATAATTCGACCAATGCTGGAGTACGGCACTCCCGCGTACTGTCCCATCACCCGGGGAGAAGTAAAAAAGCTTGAGCGGGTACAGCATGTAGCCACCAGGCTGATTCCCAACTTACGAGGTATGTCATACGAAGACCGATGTAAGAAACTAGGGTTATACACCCTATCTTATCGTCGGCTGAGAGTTGACCTCATCATGACGCACCGGATATTACATCTGGGTGGTTACCCCATGTTGAGACAACTACTTCATCTGCGCACACAAAGCTGCACGCGAGGACACCGGTATAAACTTATCGTCCCGGATTTGAAGCGGGTCGCCCATCAACTCTGTTTCGAACGCAGAGTGG